CCCCCCACTCGTCAGCCCTGTTTCCGGGTGCATAACCCACGTCTCTAGTTTTTTGTATTTAGCAAAAATTAGGAAATGATTTGCAGACTTTGCTATTTACGTATGAATGTTATGTTAATTTTACACGGACTATTTACTATTTATGTATGAATGTTATGGTAATTTTACATGGTCCATAAAACGGTGTGACACGAATGATCTTAATTTTCTTTAACATTAAATATTGTCAGATGATTTAAGGTTGCATGCTCATATGTATATGATGTGGGTTTATATATACATACATAGTGAGAGAGAGTTTTTCTCTTACAAAGACGGTTTACAACCATTCGCTTACCTTGTACGTTTTGGAGAGAGATCGTTACAATGTCTAATTATCTACCCACGTAACTCTCTGCAACAGACCCATTTGTGAGCCCCCCAGTGGCACAGCGGCATGTCTGCGGACTTACAACGCTAGAAACCGGATTTCGATACCCGTGGTGGGCAGAGCACAGATAGCCCTTGTGTAGCTTTGTGCATAATTAAAAACAAACAAACAAACCCATTTGTGAAATTCTACAGCACAACTGTGCTAGCAAGAAGGGTAATTAATTACCTTACCCAGAGGAAAAGTAGACTCTTAGCTGCTATTCTCCACCAACTCGGTTGATTTCCGGAAACGTTTTATTCAATACATCAGTGTAGTAAATGACTTCACAAGCTTCAAATGACTTCAAATGATTATGCTTCCTGTTCCCAAGTTCTTTCTTCTTTTACTTCTGCAAACACTTAATCCCACATGTTCTGTCTTCCACTGTCTGAGTCCATTAATGACAGTTTGTTTGTTTGTTTGTTATGGATTTTGCGCAAAGCTACACGAGGGCTATCTGCGCTAGCCGTCCTTAATTTAGCTGTGTAAGACTAGAGAGAAGGCAGCTAGTCATTAGCACCCACCGCCAACTCTTGGGCTACTCTTTTACCAACGAAAAATGGGATTGACCATCACGTTATAACGCCCCTGCGGCTGAAAAGGGCGAGCATATTTGGTTTGGCGGGGATTCGAACCCGCGACCCTCAGATTACGAGGCCAGTGTATGGCGGGTGACAAAATAGAACTTTCTCTGTGTCTCTCTCAGAACAAGAATAAATCTATGAACTTTCAACGCTAAAATCCGGCGTTCGATCCCCTGCGGTGGACGCAGCGGATGGCCCAATGTGGCAGTTTTAGTCGAAAACAAACAAACATAATCTCTCAGAACAAATCTATTCATATAGTTCACTCTTTGTGGCTATAGTGGCAATTAACGTAACAAAATACTCAATGGGCATCATTTTGTCATGAATTTACTCAAATGGCATCCTTTTTTCATGAATTCGATCTTTTCACTATTTTTTTTTTCGGGTACTAGCTGTTGAAATTATATTTTCCCTGGTCGATAATTTGTTTGCGTGCGTACTTATGTTTTGATTATTTTTTTGTGGCTCAGTGGAGTATAATGCGTAGAGCCAAGAGTGAAAATAATTACTACACAGACTATATGTGTTACTGGAAATGACGTACTCGGTAGTTTTGAAGATGTTTCACATTGTTATTGTGTCGCATCTCTTTGTGTTTGTT